CCTTGCCTTTAGTTCATCTTTGGTGTTATAAAAGCGTTTCGTTGGCCTCTTTAAAACTGTGCCCCACTCATAATAATCAAGGGGCTTGCAGTCTGGGAGGACAGAATTGTCTGACAGACATGAATGGATTCTTCTGCATGCGTGGCATGGTGCAGATTCGTGTTGCCATTCATAGGGTTTTCCAGCAGCCATCCTCCTGACCCAGAGCACCACTACCCCCTCGTGGTACTTGACGTAGTCCTCTGTGTTAGGCTTGAGGCTCCGTTGGCTGATGAATGTGATCACAACGTTGTCATCACAAGTGATCACTCCAAACACCATGATTTTGACTGGATATTTCATCCAAATCTTTCCGAGTCCTGTGCTATGTTCTCAGATTGAGACCCAAACACCCAATGTACGTATTGGATCTTCCGGCGCGAATACCAAGCACTACAGCAGACCTTTTCCAAATTTCTGTCGGAATGAATTGGGTCATGGTGGTCTTTTTCTCACAGACGGTGCCTAACTGACCCTACTATACTGTGCAGTCGACAAAAGAAAAAAACAAACAATGCACATGCGCGAAATTAAAAATATAAAATAGCCACAATTTATCCATCGCACCCTGTACATACACACATATACATATATCTTCACTAGGCTATTATTTCGTTTTATTATTTGGTTTGGTGGTATCTCAAGTATCAATTGTAGGGGGTTATGTTTATAATTAAATTTTTATTTATTATTGTTTGAATTAATGCGCATATGTCTGTATTTATACGATTATGCATACGCACACGCTCACATTCATGCATGTACATATATAGGTATACACACGTGCAAATATATATACATATAAACGCGCATATACAGGCACATGTACACTTATGCCTGTGCGTTGTTATGAATAAACTAATGCTTAAATGGTAAAGTTATTTTTTCTATTTTTAAGGTATTAATTATGGTTGGTTGGATTTATAGAATGTTTTCTTTGTTATTTGGATATGTATATATAGTATATACTCCCACACACTCACTCGCACACCCGCACCTACGCTGCGCGCACATACATATATACAATTGTTAAATAATGTATATGTATTAAATTAAATATTTGTTTATATCATGTCATCGTGTATGTAATGGTTTATTTTTATTTAATGGTGAGTAGTTTATTTGCTTTTGCCTTGATGCTATATAATTAATTAATTATAGGGGGTAAGCTTTGTCCGTTTGCAGTTGTTTGTGTGTGCGTGTTTGTGTGTGTGTATGTATATATTTATATACACATGTACACACCTGCGTATAGGTGTGAATGTTTAATATTTGTTCGTTTATTTATTTATTGATAATTAATTTTTTAAAGTTTATATTATATTTATTTAATTTTTTTTATTTAAAATTTTTATTATATTTTTTATTTATTTGTTTTTTTTTTTTATTTTTGACTAGAGACCAAAGTAAGCATTTATTTATGTCCCTACATTTACCCATTATTTCAGTTTTCTTGTTTAAGTGTTTATTTTGGTTTTCAAACTGATTATTGCTAATTTTTCCTCTAAGCATAATTTACAGTTTTTAGTGCTAATACCCTATGGGGCTGCTATTTTTAACATTTCCCATTTAATTTTGTTAGGGATATTGTTTTCTTTTTGCTTCAATATATTTTTTGATAGGATTGTATTGTTTGTGAATTTTTTTTTCTTTCGAAGATCATTTTGTGGTTATAAAATCTTTCTTTTAAGGTTTTCTTCTGTGGCACTATGTACATTTTTCGTCTGTGTTAACGATGCCTTTGTATATCATGTTATTGGTTAATCATTGATTGTTAAGTGGGCAATTTTCTTTGTTTTTGCAGTTACATTTGATGGTGTTATTTTGCTGGATGTTATTGTCGTTTTAATTTTTATTGTTTTTTTTTAGTATTTTTATTGTGTTTAGTTATTATTTTTTCTCCATGTTATCCATGCAGCTGTAACTGATTTTGATTATATTTTTATTGATAATGTTTTAGAATTTGCTGTTTTTAGGGAAGTGTTTGCCAATTATTTTGGAGAATATTTTCCCTATTTTTGTTTTTATTGTATTGTTGTGGGGAGGTTGAACCAAATTATGTTTCTTTTTGTCTTGTTTTTGATTAAATTATTCTCGTTTTTATATTCTAATAAAAACGAAAATAATTGCAGATCTGTCATTCATATAGTACACATTAGACTGCCGATTTTCAAGTGATCTTCAATGGCTAGCAAATCCAGCTCGAGATAGAATAACCTTCCCTTAGATGTTACATACAACCACAAATTGAATATATTCTGAAATCAAGTCTACATCTTTTCAATTTCGAATGCACAGCCATTTTGACCTCAAGACGATCCAACCAGACTTATTCTCTTCCTGCTTTTTCTGCACTAATTTTATGAATTTTCGTGTTGTCTTTACCAACATCCTTAAAAGATTTCTTTGTTTTGTGTCTGGGGCGCTTACCAAAAATGATCCCCCTCCCTCCTGAAAAAGCAATCTCTTCTATTCTCCCGAGATGCTCTGTACAGTTTCTCTATGCTGCGTGTTTTGGACTATTGAATAACAACCATGTCTGGTGGGAAAGTCTGTCACTTGATGTGCCTAAGGCACTTTTGATTTAATTTTTACTCGGTTTTGATATGATGTCGATATATAGTCCATGTCTTCCAAATGTACAAGAGAGCAGTCAGAACACACGATTGGTCGACACTGATCTTAATGTCGAGTTGGATGTCTATGTCTGTCCAGACCCGTTTTTCCAATTTACCGAAGGATTTTTCAATTCTACAATTGATATCGAGATCCAAAGTACCAATCTCTAACAAGATTACTTCCAAGATAGACAAAGGTATCAACAACTTCTAGTGTCTGACAATGAACAAGTATGTTAGGTTCGACATAGCATTGCCATAGAGGCTGTGTGTACCTAACCTTAGTCTTTTTTTTATGCTGATGCTTAGCCCGAACAGTGCTGACTTTGAAAAATGGTCCATTATGTTTTAAATTTCCTTTTCGGTATAACCAACGATGTCTGCATCGTAAACATAGAGCAACTCTTGAATAACAGACTGGAAAATCTTGATTTAGCCTTGGAACACAGGTAAAGTCAACTTGACTTTACCTGTGTTCCTAAAACGCAGGTACAAACCGTCTTCACAATCGTGGAAACGATACGTGAGAGCTGCAGTAAAAAAAAATAAAGTGAGAGAAAGAATGTCACCTTGCTTTAATCCATTCTTGATGGATATGGGTTGCAAGAGAGATCCATTGAAGTTAAAGTCACCCTTTCATCTACCTATGAAGTTGTTTTAACATTCTTACAAAGACTGGAGAACATCCTATCTTACCGAGAATAGTCCAGAAAGTATCCCAATATATAAAAACATATAAATCCTTTACTTTCAACCCATTCTGAAGAATTGGATGAGAATTTGCCTTGGATTCATTTCAGAAAAGGCTATATGAATTTCTTGCTTTCGAGCCATTCTGAAAATGAAATGAGCATTTACTTTTAATTCGATGCAGAAAAGCTGGGAAAATATATTAACAACTTTCGATATGTACTAAGAATTATAAAGAAAAAAGTCATGATAAATACTAACTAGTTTTAAAAAAAAGTCACTCATTTTCTTTCTTTAATCTAGAGAAACTCCAACTTAGGAGAGGGTGTAATACCATGATTCATTATTTAAACATACACACAAATACACACGCGCATTTCTTTCTTTCGTTTTTGCATCCGATGAAGCCTTGAAAGGCGAAACGCTTAATCAAATCTAATTCCAATGAAATGTTTACCATTTGCCGAATTTCTTAAAAACTTTAACGAGATTCTATATATTATTTGAAATACGCAACACACATATCAAGAGTAGAGCAATAATTATTTATCATAATTTTACATACGAACAGGACAACTTGCTCACTACAAAGATGCATAAGATAAGGAACAAATAGGAAACGTTTAGAAATTTAACATGTTTCGGTTTTATTTAAGCTTCATCATCAGTTAAATATGGAAGATAAAATTCTGGTATATTTTTTTTTTATTTTTGTGTTGTTTTTTCTTTGGTTAAGTAAACCCCACATGTATATAATTCTTGTATGTTCGTGTAACATGATTCTATTTGGTCTCTGTGGTATTTGGTTGATAATGTGCGTGCGTGTGTGCGTCTAGTGGGCATTCTAATTCTTTTTGGTAGTATCCGTATGTTGATTGGGGGATGCTTTTTTCTTGGGTGGGAAAGAATTTACTTTACACCTATTTTGGTTGTGGTTAGTCTGATCTTAGATTCTTTAAATATGGATTTTACAAAAGTTGCTGAAAGATGAAAATTTAACACAGTCCTCGGTGAAAACATGTGTAGCGGTTTCAGGGAGCGATACGACATGGTGGACTGTTTTGAAACGTTCTCGCTCCCTTTAACTGTTACACATGATGTTACCGAGTTCTATTTTAAACTTTCAACACTATAAAACAACATCATGTAACCAACGGAAAAATGTTTAAACTGGATTTTCTTGCATGTGTGAAATTTGCATTCATAATACAAAATAAATACGAATCTTCGCAACAGGTTTTAGTCAACTCAACTATACTAGCTCGTCTACACAAATCTAAATCAACCGACTTGTTTTCCCCAAAAAGCGGCAAGAGATAAAAAAAACTCACGGACAGCAGAAATTACATGGCTTCTACTTTAAATCAATACATTGATATGTCATTTTCTACGTTCTCACGGACATCACGGCTGTAGAAGGTCCATACTATTATTAAATTGTATGAAGTTTTCCTATATGAGACACATGTCTATTTCTACGAATATTTCAAATGATAAAACTGTTTACTGTAAAAAGCTACATCACAAAAACCAACTTACACTTTAGGGTATGTTAGTTTTTGTGATGTATCACTTTGGTAAAATACAGGAGGAAGGAAGGAAAAATATAGAAGGAAAGAAAGAAATAGAACAGGAATAAGAGTAAAAAGAATTCTAAAAAAGTATGAGGCGGAAGAACGGAAAATATGGCAGGGAGCTGGAACGAAAGAAAGAAAGAAAGAAAGAAAGAAAAGAAAGAAAGAAAGAAAGAAAGAAAGAAAGAAAGAATAATTGAGTGAGTAAATTGGCTGAATTAAGAAAAACCTCGAAGCAAAAAAGGAAGGAAAGCATGGAAGGAAGGAAAGAAGGAAATAGAACAGGAATAAGAGTAAAACGAATTCTAAAAAGGTATGAGGCGGAAGAACGAAAAATATGGCAGGGAACTGGAACGAACGAACGAAAGAAAGAAAGAGAGAAAGAAAGAAAGAAAGAAAGAAAGAAAGAAAGAAAGAAAGAATGAATGAAAGAAAGAAAGAAAGAATAATTGTGTGAGTAAATTGGCTGAATTAGAAAAAATGCAAATTCTAGACAAAACCTCGAAGAAAAAAGGAAAGAAAGCATAGAAGGAAGGAAGGAAGGAAGGAAGGAAGGAAGGAAGGAAGGAAGGAAGGAAGGAAGGAAATAGAACAGGAATAAGAATAAAACGAATTCTAAAAAAGTATGAGGCGGAAGAACGGAAAATATGGAAGTGGACTGGACCGAACGAATGGACGAAAGAAAGAAAGAAAGAAAGAAAAAGAAAGAAAGAAAGAAAGAAAGAAAGAATAATTGAGTAAATTGGCTGAATGAGGAAAAATGAAAATTCTCGACAAAGCCTCGAAGAAAAAAGGAAAGAAAGCATAGAAGGAAGGAAGGAAGGAAGGAAGGAAGGAAGGAAGGAAGGAAGGAAGGAAATAGAACAGGAATAAGAGTAGAACGAATTCTAAAAAAGGTATGAGGCGGAAGAACGGAAAATATGGCAGTGGACTGGAACGAAAGAAAGAAAGAAAGAAAGAATGAAAGAAAAGAAAGAAATGAATAACTGTTGGTAAATGAGTGTTGCACCTGTGCGTTTATTTCGAAGCCATGTGGCTCCATGTGACAGACAAGTGGGGCTGGGGATGCGACGGTACGAGCGTGGCTTGAAGTCGAGTCCGTTAGTTGCGATTGAGTATCGATCTCTTCGCCGGCGATGACCTACTTATGCAATGACCTCGTGGCCTTCGATCCACACACACGCACGCACACACACACACACACACACACACACACACACGCACACGCACACACACACGCACACATGCACGAGTCCATGCGCGCATACGGACAGCGATAGCCGAGCGCTCACACGCATAAACTGATAGAATACATGTAAATATTAAGCGAACACACACACACAGAAGTTGTCCTGATAGACAGGCGAGCGTTAATTTCGCAAACGGTCCACAAGATCTATTTCACTTTAATGTGTGCACCGCTAACCAAATAAATGTGTGTGTGTGTGTGTGTGTGCGCGTGCGCGCGCGCGCGCGCATATTTCTCATGGTGCGATGGGTAAATTGTTGTCATTTTATAGTTTTAATTTCGCTCATGCGCGTTGTTTGTTTGTTGATTTTGTCGACTGCACAGTGTAATGATTTTCCAAGCGTAGCCTAGATGTGGCAGAAGGCCGAAAGTATGGGGTACCACGTGAAGATCGAACTCATTACTCAGTTGTAATTGATCTGACGAGACAAGCTTGCTAACCATTACACGACATTGAAGTGCCCTGGCTGCACAGTCTAGTAGGCTCAGTTAGGCACCGTCTGTGAGGAAAAAGTGCATCATAACGCAATTCACTCCTCCAGAAATTTGGAAACGGCATGCTGTACTGCTTTTCATTCGCACCAGAAACTCCAATACGAACATTTCAGAGTGTTTGGCTGTCAATATAAGGAGAGTGCAGAAGATTCGGAAAGAGTTGGATGAGTCTAATGGTGATTACGAAGTTACGGCTGCTTGAAAAACATACTCTGATCGTTCTGATAAGAAAAGAACTGCTGAATTTGTTGACCTACATTGAGAAGGTAGTGCTACTCTGCGTCATGAGGGTGGCTTCTGTAAGGCCCTATGTCTGGCAACAGGACTCTGCACCATGCCACACAAGCAGGAAAACATAGTCATGGCTGTCAGACAATTTCTGCGACCACATAACCCCTTACATCTGGCTTCCTAACTCTCCTGATTATTATGTATGGGGCGCTGTTGAACGAGTAACCAACAAAACTCCTTGTAATATCAAATATGAACTGAAGGGAAGGATGATGGCAGCATTCACCAACTTGAGATCGTCCAGAAGAGTTTTCAGGAGATTCAGAAGTCGTCTGGAGGCCGGGGTTGAAGCCAGTGGCGATTTTATTGAATAATTTACTCTTTAGTATTTCAGGATATTTTAGTGTAATTTTGGTAAATACATCTGTTAAAATGAGATGTCAGTGTTATTTTCATTTTGGCATCATTTAGACGACAATTTATCCATCGCAACCTATATAAGGCTAAGGTATATTCTTGTCTGCATATGCGAAATTTGCAGGTAGATAGATTTTATTTGCCTGTCAATGTTATTGAACCGGAGATGCATATTACTATTCAATAATACCAACTTGTATCAATTACTTTTTTCTATAGAAATTTATATTACTTTTGGGCAATAGCTTTTACAACCTAAAGCAAGAATATTGTTTGCCCAACACCCCTCTGGATAGCAAGTGCTTTATGCCATCAGCTTGAATATGTTTGATTTGCAAAAGTAGATCCTATTTCATTTCTTTTCCTTTTTTTAATAATTTCAATCCAAGCAGGGCGTTAATGTGATTGAAAAGATAATGACAAAATTTTAGTTGCAAGACAGGAGAATAAAAGAACAGAATTGAGGAAGACAAAAGATAGCGTTTGACATTTTATTTAAATTTTTGAAGATTGTAGGTGACAGGGAAGTAAGAAACCGAAAGAGAGTTCCACAGGCGAGAAGTACAAGAAAAGAAATTATTAGAATAGAACTCAAGGTTACATCTAGATATATCAACAGTTAAATGATGAGACCTAATCGCCAATCTAGTATTACTTAAATACACTACTTAAATTAACGCGGTCAAGGTACCAAGAAATGGAACTCCTTAAAACAACTGCCATGAAAATATTTATAGAAAATGGAAGCCAAGTCACAGCAGTGAAAAAAGTGACAGAAGTGACGAAATGCCAGGTCAGGACCAATAATATTACAGACCCTTCTTTGGGTTCAGTGCACAGACGAATGGTAAATTTATAGATGTGCAAGATAGATTCTGACAAGAAAAATTGTCTGGCACGACACACTGAACCAACTTTCCTCGCAGTAGATTTAGCAATTGATTCAATATAATCATTCCACTTCATGTCAGTGTAAAACGTGAACCCAAAAAGATACAAAGTGTTGCTCTCTTGGAGGTTAGCATCAGCTATGATGATAGAAGGTAGAATAAATATATATGGACATACACTGCATTTTATGCCTGTGGACAAGTTTTTTATATAATCAGTAATATTATAAGGAGGCACGGTGGAGTAATGGATAACTGTTCAGATTTAGGGATCAGAGAGCCGAGTTTGAATTCCAGTCGAATCCATTAAAAGGTATGAATCCTCTTTTTCTCCCCAAGTTATGAGTAAATAGCAGGACAGACCAGGTTCTATAGCTTTGGATGGCAGCTGGTCTACTGCAGAAAGAAATGGCAATCTAATGCGGGAAAAATCTGCCTCGTCAGTTATGTATCGAAAGATACATGATCACCTAAGCGTGTATCACGCATGACACATGACTGACTGATTAAATCCATCACAATTTGAGTAGAAGCAATAAAAGTTGTTGCACATATTGTTAGCCTTGACAGAGCACCAGACCAGATATCACAATAATATTCAGTGCACGGACAAATGGTAAATTTATAATGTGCAAGATAGATTCTGACGAGAAAAATTATCTGACCCGACAAAGTGAACCATCTTTCCTAGCAGTAGATCTAGCAAATGATTCAATATAATCGCTCTACTTCATGTTTGTGGAAAACATGAGCCCAAGAAAGCGCAATTGCTCTTCTGGAGGTTAGCATCAGCCATACTTATGGTGGTGTCGAGGGGGGACGCAAAAATGTTTTCCTATGATGATTAAAGGTCAGCAGTTTCCTTTTGGAAGCGTTAAAATTTACAAGCCATTTTCGCCCTCTTCGTCAAGTGTAGGCTAGTTCATCTCTAATATCAGGCTACCTCATAAGTAATGTCCGAGTTAAGTTCATAAAGAATATAAGAATTATTTTTTAATTATAATTTATTAATTGTTCCATCATTATAATTAATCTCTTTCCAACAAAATTAATGACACTGTTTTTGTAAAAGTTTTTTTTTTTTTTTTCGAAGGAAAAGATAGAGTACATTTCGGTCTTTTCGGTGCTTTAAGAACGACTTCATTAACCCACTCTGTACACTCCGGAAGAGGCAAAGAAAAAGAAGAGTCTTCATTTTTTTTCCCTCTATGAAACTGTGCATTATGATGGAACATCACATCTTTGGCGACTGATCAAAATGGGCCGCTTTTTCTTCAAAACGCTCTAAATTGTTTAACTGCTGACAATAGACGCCTGCCATAATTTTAACATTGATTAATAGCATCTCAAAATGGAAAACATCAGGGAAATTCCACCCAAATCCTTCTTGACTGAAGTTCTATTTTGGGTTGAGCTTTGCTCTATTGATCTTCTCTAAGCTTATAGGTTTATATTCTTGTAAAATATATTCAGTAGCAGTTTCTAATCTGTCTAAAAATGGTGGGATGGTTTCGGATGGGTCCTGAAAAATACCGACTGTCACATTTGCTTTACGACTTGTTTCTGTGTAATCATACCTAATCGATTTTCCAATTTTAGACGCCTTTTCAAGTTGTTGCAGATGACAGTAAACTTTTGAATAACTTCAATTCAGTTTTTCATTTAATCTTTCAACTGTAACCACACTATTTTTGTTGAGTTCAAACAAAATCAGATCATATGGTCTGTAAGAAAAGAAAAGAAGAGAAAAGAAAAGAAAAGGGTGCCGCTTTAGTGTGTGTCTTACCGGTCAGTTTCTGTTTTAGTGTGTATCCTACCCCCACATTTGTATCCTACATTATTAAGACATTGTCCCCGACTTTTTTCTCGATATGTTAAAAGACATTCAGAATATTTTTATTTAATGGATTCAAATATCTTGTTTTATTATTTTTAAGACAAATTTATTATTTTATAATTTATTTATTTTTATTTTAAATTTTATAATCCAACAATAAATAGCATCCGTTCGTCCGTTTTTGCTTTTCCCCTTACATTAAATGATATTGGATATAAATGTGATGGTAAGACACACTGATCAGGATACTCACTAAAACAGCACCGAAAAAAAAATAGCTTTTGCCTCTTCATGAACTTGCCATTTAAAATGACAAACTCCGGAATAGTTGGTAATCAGATCGAACAGGATTTGGAGACTGAAGAGGGTGTAAAACTTTCCCCACTCTCCTAACTAACGTTTTCCATCGTTCCAGGTGTGACTTTTGCTGTATGAGGCTGTGCATTATTATGCAACATCATAACATTGTGATTGATCAAACCTTTTTTTTTCTTTATAATCGATTATTACCTTTTAACTACTGATAATAGATGTCTATTTTAATTGTAACATTGGTAGCCAATTCAAGTAAATCCTTCCAAAAATCAAAACTTTATTTGGTAGCAGTTTCATTTTGCGTTATACTTGTTTGCCTACAGTAAGGCATATCGTTTTATATTCTTGTAAAATATTTATTTTTTTATCTACAGTCACTAATCTGTTTAAAAAGGCACGATGCATTCACAAGAGTGCAGAGAATTTCAGATATAAACACCTGATTTACAATTCAGTCAGTTATGTGTCATGTGGAATACACGCTTAGGCGATCATGTATCTTTCGATACATAACTGACGAGGCAGAATTTTTTCCCACAATAGGTTGCCATTTTTCTGCGCTAGACCAGTTTCCATCCAAGGCTATAGAACTGTCTGTCCTGCTATTT